TCCTCCACGATTTGGAAGGACAGTGTGAATTCCAACATATACCAGAACCCAAACTAGAGGTGAATAAGACGGGGCTAGAATATACAGTCTTAAAAGCTTTTTTTTTTTTTTTTCCTGTAGAAAAATGTAAGTTAACTAAATGCAACAAAAGATTTTCCGCGGGTTCAGGGGGTCAAGCAGATGTAGACAAGCGTAGGGGAGTTATTTATGTCAAGTTGGGTTATTGTAAAAGCGAGAGAGAGAATCACCCAGGCGGCTTAGGCAGCCAGTGGGCCAGTGGGCCTGCATGCCGGGGTCAGGGTGGCAGGGCAGTGTGTCCATCCTGGCGGGACAGTAATTGCCCCGGGTCTGACACGACGCCGGGGGCTCAGGGCGCCTCCATCCATCTCCATCCAGTTAGCGACGCGCCCCCCGACCGGGCGGGTGGCCCGGCTTGGACCTCAGCTTCGAATAATGAGAACAATTGTCTCCCCGCCTGGCATAGACCTCCGCCACTCCTCCGGGTTCGCTGCCCCTCTCATTTCTCCAGCGCTGCTTGTTCCCCAGCCTTGGCGATGGGGATCGGGTGAGAGGTCAGCTCCAGATCCAGTGGCCCTGAGCTCAGAGAGCAGCGAAGTCAGGGTGCCCCAGGAGGAGATCCAAGCCTCGGCCCCCACTGCCCTCCGCTCTGCCTCTGCCCGCCACTAACCTACCTCTTTTTCCACCTGCCCAGCGAATCCAGCTGCCCGGCCTTCCCCTCCCATCCAAGAATCCCCGGCTCCTGCCTCTAGAATTTTCCACCAGCGCTGGGGGCTGTTAAAGATTCTGCTCCCCTCTGACAATTTAATAGTCCCAAGTCATCATCTGCGTGACACTGGCCATCTATCTTCTCCCAGGGGAGGACAAAGCGGGGCCTCCCGGACTCCAGGCCTCTCCCTCCCCAGCTCTTTCTATTTTGGGACTCACCACAATGGCGTCCTTATAAACCATAATGGCGATGTTTATGAAGGCCGCAATACCAGTGTATGAAGACAATTTTATGCCTAATTAGAAAATGATGTAACTCGAGAGAAGACAAAGGGAAGCTGTCCCCCTCCCGTTTCTCTTTCTTCAATCACACCCCCTCCCCAAATTTCCTAGGGCCGAACCCCTTGTGAGTGCTTAGGGCTGAAGGACTCTGTTTTGACAGTAGCTGGGCTCCCCGTGCCCCGCTGGCCCTGGCCGCGTGACAGGAGGCGGCAGGCACGTCCCACGGCTCAGGGCGAACGCTTGGGAAGGGGATAGAGGGAGGTCGCCGCGGGGAGGGGGACAGAGGCAGGCACAGAGTCCTAAAGAGATTTGAGACTCGCGCTCCTGCACTTTCTATCCCACGCGGCCCCATCCGAGGGGACCTCACCCCTGGGAAGACTCCAATAAATGCAACCCGGCGCCACTCGATTCCGGGATAATTTTTAATATATATGCAATAAATGTTCACTTTGTTAGATTGAATGACAGACAATAATATCGGCAAATCTTCATATCCATCCATTACCAGCAAATGAGCCACACAAAGGACAGATTTGCTTTTGATTAATTTATTTGCAGACTCGGGTTGATAAAGCAATAACTATTTGGTTAAACTTGACATTTGGTCTTCAGGGGGTTATCAGACAAATCTCTGTCGCTCGGAAGAGATAATAAAGCTGTTTAAAGGGGATTAATTATTAATTGGCTGCAATTAATTTCCCCCCTTTGCTCGGCTGCTGCCACAATTCGCATCCCTCACCCACAAACAAAAGACAGAGGTTTGCCCTCCTCCCCACCCACTGACCTGGGGCGACGAGGGGATCCCCAGAGCCCTGAGTGAAGATGTGATCTCTTGCACCCGGTTATTCCAGTGCAGACTATTTTAATGAACCCTTGGCAAAACCTGACCATGTCTGTCCCCAGCAGCTTTTCTGGAGTCGAGGGTGTGATTAAGCATCAATTTGAGGGTCGTGGATTCGGAGCTGATTTTCTAGTCTCAATATTTCTGGTTATAAGGACATCAGCTCACACCCGTTGTTATATCTAAATCCACACTCCCCAACTTGTTTCCTTGGGGCAGCAGTTTGGGGGCTGAGCTGGAACCTGGGTGTGGAAGAATCACAAGACCGCCATGCTGATGACGCGGAGAGGATTCCTTCTTCCCTCCTTTCCCCTCGCCCTGCAGCGGAAACCCTTCGCATGGCCTCCCTGGCCTGGAACGCGTCCCTGACGACTGCAGGGTACGCAGGGCCCAAGGCCAGACTCTACTCCCGCGCGGATGCGGGAAGATTCCAGGCTGTGCTTGGGCTGTTTTACTGGACCCGACCGAGGAATGAGCCAACCTCAGCACGATTGGGCCAGAGCGAGAGGCATCTTGATGACCCCGAGGTGCCCCTTCCTTTGCTAATAATCTGTCAAGACTTTAAAGAACACATACTGAGACTAAAGCCCATCAAGCCTGCCTGGCCACAGCGCAGGCTGCCTCGACCTCTCCGACCTCCACCCGCTTCCA